AGTCCCAGATGTTGTCCTGGATTTCTCTGCATGTCCGACTTGGATGCCCAAACTTCCAATTCCTCTCTCTCTCCTCTCAACTCCAACTCCAACTACCCTGTCTTCCCTTTTTCCTAACTTTAAAGGGCCAGACTCTCTGTATGTCATTAGTTGATAAACCAATAGGCAGCCGTAGGTGTGTCCAATCGATGGATCGCAATTTAGGTATTTGATCCATAGAGGGCAGTCTCGTCTAACGAAACCTTCCTATCCAGGAAAGAGTTAACTTTTCCTGATGACGATTTTGACGTAATTTGGCTTATCTAAAATTACTACCATAACTTAGATTTGCTGTCAGTTCAAATCATTTGTGCCAGTCTTTGTGGCATCTACTTTGATCGTAACTTGTAAAATTGACAGTTCTAAACTTGATTTCACCCCTTTCGTACAATGGTACCTGTAACGGATCACCTGGCACCCCGACTGGGTACCTCCGTTAAAGGATGCTCCTAGCGCTTCCTGAGGACTCCAAGCACTGCAGCAGACACCACAACCACCGAACCGGAGAAGTATATGAATCCTCTCAAGCATATGAATGCTGTAGACAGTTGAATAGGAACCATACGAATAGGTTTACTCTCCTAGCAGTCAAACTGGAACAGCATACAATAAATCCTTCCCCCAATAATGAGACGACACTTCACTTTGAGGGTTAAGCAGGAACTACAGATTTATTCACACCACCTCCTTTTAAGACATTCTCCCATGCAAGGGAGGGATCCTCAACAATTAGTACCCCAGCCAATAATGTACCAGTTACCTCCCACACATCTCCTCCCCTTAGTGTGACACATAATCCCATTAGTACAAACACAAATTCCCTGGGATACTGGATGTACCCCTAAACATAGGGATACCCCTTTAAATGTTACATCCCCTGGTAGCCCTGATCTGGGTGAGACACATATCCAAAAATCACCCAGATCGGACCAGGGGTTCAGGAATTATAAAGGGTTAAAGTTTTGACCGACTGCATGGCAAAAGTATCCGAAAATAGTTCCATGTATTTTGGCCCTGCAGTCGGTCACAGAAAAGGGAATCAAACACACGAATTGCCTGTGTTACAGAGCTTGGGGAGGATTCGTATGAATCCCCCTGTTCGTGGGATCCTTTCTACCAAACGGCGGGCCGTTCGGTAGTTTCTGCACGAATTGCTGGAAGTCTGGAGGTCTCAGCGGTGTTTGCTTAGTCGAGTGTCCGATTTTAGTTCCAGACACTCGACGGCAAAACACCGCTGTTCGGGAGTTTAAGATGGCCGCCGCCACATGTTCTTTTCCCGAATGGCGGCCACCCAGAGGACAAAACACACATTACACATATTGCCAATTACCCGTTTGCAACATTGTTGCAAACGGTAATTGGAGGCACACTTACTCCAGGGTGGTCTGGTTGTTCGGTAGTTTCACCCAATATAATGAATGGAGTAATTCTGCCGAACAATCAGACGAATGCTGCATACACATAACACTGTTTACCGAACATATAATATTAAATACAGCCTGAATGCAATTTGCTACACAGTCTTAAAAAGGCATTATTCCTAACAGGCAGAATATATCCACGGATGGCCCTTAAAGGGCCAGTAGCAGCAATATAAAAATGTCACATGCCCAAATATTGCATACAAAAGTATGAATTCACAAGGGGGCCATAGTCAGATGGCAGGAGGCTGGCAATCAGGCTTCTCCAGTGCATAGTGGCGAGGTTGGTTTCGCCACAGTACCTTATAAAACTTAGAAAGTAAGATCAATTACTTAGTCTTCTCTGTCACTAGTGTCTGTGTTTAGATAATACATTCCTTTAACATTTAGACATAGCATTCCATCCCCCTTGCTTAATTGCTTATCTTGGTTAGTGAAAGTAAGGAGAAACTATGTCTTTGCTATCCTGAAGATAGCAAAATGGAGTCTGCTTTGTTCTGAGTGGCTTTGGCAATATACACTTTTAATTTCTTTTTAGCATAAAATGTCTGTTGATATAAATATTCTGACAATATTAATAAAAGGGAAGTTAAATCCTCCCGCATGCTCCTACTCGCAAGGATCTATTGTCCCCCCCAGCTCCCACCCATGAGTGGTGGGTGAAGGCCCTTAGTATCAATGGGCGGACCTATTGTCCTCACCCATGAGCGGCAGGGGGGATCCTAACAGATAATGGGGGGGACCTATTGTCCTCCCCCCACGGCCTACCCCCATGAGAGGTGTCCACCCATAAATGACAATAAGGGGTGGACCAATTGTCCCCCCCAGGCCCCACCCATGAACCGCGGGTGGGGGCTGAATATAAAATTATTAAATATAAAAAATCCCCCCCCCCCACAAGTGACTAGGGTTCCCCAAACCCCTAGTCACCCCCTCCCCAATTAAATTAAACCCTACCTACCCTCTCATCCTAAAAATAGTGAGGGGGGGACAAAAACCTAAATACCTGTTAATAAAAAAAAATGTATACTTACCATTAGATTTCTTCTTTTTTCTTAACCTTCTTTTTTCAGCCCCCAAAAAGGCCAAATAAAAAGCCATCATTCCCATCGAACTTAAAAAAAGAACCAAGCTCAAAAAAAAAAAAAAAACAAGCAAGAAAAAAGAAAAATCCATCTCCCCCAAAAATAATCCATCTTCACACAGAGAGGGCCCTGCGCAGACTGAGCTTTGCAAGGCAGGGCCCTGCAATGTAACTCAGAGCACTGATTCCAAGTCAACCAATCCTAGTGCTCTGATAGGTATATGAAGAGACTGACAGGTAAGTCTCTACATTTACCTTTTACAGTACTCAGATTGGTTGGTTTGGAATCCAACCAATCAAAGTGCTCTGAGTAATTTTACACAGCGTGGGAAAGGTCTTTGGAAGTTTTCCACGTTGTGTAAATTGACTCTGAGAACTCTGATTGTTTGATTCCAAGTGCTGTGACAGATAAATGTAAAGACTAACCTGTCAGTCAAATTGCAGGGCATGAGTAGCCTATATAAGGCTTCCCCCGCCCTGCAAAGCTCATTCTGTGCAGAGCCCACCCTGGGTGAGCATGGATTATTTTTTCCGCAGTTTTTTTTTTTTTGGCTTTTTTTTGTTCTCTGGTTCTTTTTTTTGCTGTGACAGATAAATGTAGAGACTTACCTGTCAGTCAAATTGCAGGGCATCAGTAGCCTATATAAGGCTTCCCCCACCCTGCAAAGCTCATTCTGTGCAGAGCCCACTTTGGGTGAGCATGGATAATTTTTTCGGCTGTCTTTTTGTTTGTTTTTTTAGGCATTTTTTTTGTCCTCCGGTTCTTTTTTTATTATTTTAACAGTTGCGAAGGGACAATTATGGATTTTTATTTGGCCTTTTTTGGGGATGAAGAAAGAAAAGAAAAGAAGAAAGAAGACATCTGGGTGTTGGTTTATTGCCCCACCTCTTTACTATTATTAGGGTGAGGGGATGTAGGTAGGGTATTTTTATTGAGGAGGGAGTGACTAGGGGCTTGAGGACCCCTCGTCACTTTATTATTTGTGGTCCCCACCCGTTGCTTATGGGTGGGAATCTGGAGGGACATGAGGTTCCCCCAATTATTTATTTAATTAGGGTCCTCACCCGTCGCTCATGGGTGAGGACCAGGGGGGAATTAGCCCCCCCACATTTAATTAATTAGGGTCCCCATGGGTGGGGCCAGGGAGGGGGAGACAATAGGTCCCTCACTCTTTTGTTACTTAGGGCCCCCACCCACTGCTCAGGTCCCCCCATTGATACTTAGGGTCCCCACCTGCCACTCATGGATGGGGGCTGGGTGGGAGACAATAGGTTTCCCCCTTTTGTTACTTAGGTCTCCCACCCGCCACTTATGGATGGGAGTCGAGGGGGGACAATAGGTCCCCCCTATTGATACATAGGACCCCCACCAACAGCTCATGGTCTCCCCCTATTGATACTTAGGGCTTCCACCCACTGCTCATGGGTTGGAGCCAAAGGGGGAAAAGACAATAGGTCCCTCCTCCTTTTGTTACTTAGGACCCCACTCGCCGGTCATAGCCACTAGCTGCTCACTGCTTAGCAGACATGCCCTTACTCGCGTCACAGCGAGTAGGGGCATTCAAGAGATTTTAATATAATTTAATATTGACCTTTATAGAATGACGGGAAGCATGGGGGAAGTTAGGAAGTGGTGAGGAGCACTGCTCCCTGCCGCTTCTATTTTCACATATTACAAGGAGGGAACCAGTAGCTCCCTCCTTGTAATAAACTAAACATACTGAAACGAAAAGGTAATTCATTTGGCATTTGCCCTTTCATTTTGTTCCTAATTCATATATAGGACTTTTATGTTATAGTAAACAAATACGAAAAAGTCAGAAAATTCAGACAAAATCGTATTCGTCCTAAACGAATGCACATGTCTACTAGACAAAAGCTCTTAAGGTTCCTCTTGAACAAGGCCAATTATCTTATACCTAGGCACTGGGAAACAGCCTCAAAACACCCCCCCATCTCTCCACTTTAGAGCAATTGGTGAACAGGGTAGAGGACAAGAGAAGTATTGAGGAACTGCATTTGGGAAAGGGTGGCTATACACTAAAATGTATGAAAGTGTGGAAACCCTGGATAAGTTACTGGTCACATAATCGCAATAGCCCACCATAAGTCCCTTTGCTTCTCCTGTCTGCTGCAACCGTATTGGACCACTTACACTCAGACATCACACAACATTCTATCACCCAAACAAGACGCAACTTTAATTTCTCTATTTCTTCATTGACATTTCAGCTCTTTCGACATAGGCTATATTTTATATCATGAAGTGTTGAGACCACTTGAAAATGACTTACCTACCACAATTGGTATCTGTTTATGTTTATAAATAATGTTGAATTTGCTTTCTACTTTTTAAGCATGCCATTTGTAGTGCACTCTAGATAACCCGACTAGTTACCTCCGCTATTTTCCCTCTCAGCCAGACTGGAACCTTGTGGGATTATTGTGAAGAAAATAGACTTGATTTCGAGATTTTCTTTTGTCATTCGTTTATTTTAAGTTTTATTGGTTCGGTAGATTAAACTACCGAACACAGACCACCCTCCTGGCTCATTATCTACAAAGGGAACCGTCAATTGAGCGCTCTCTGGGCGGCCGCCGTTCACATAGTCGAACGCCACATGGAAGAGAGCACGGTGGCCATCTTGTATGCACAAAAGGGAGCAGCGGGACTTGGTCTTCGAGTGTCTGGAACTAAAATCGGACACTTGACTTCCCGAACACCGCTGAAAACATTTGAACGCCTGCTTCCTTTTGTTGCCGAAAAGCTAGGAGAGCGCCGTTCGGTAGCTCGATTCCCATGAACAAAGGGAACAAACGCTCTTATGAGCCAGGAGGCTCCGTTCGTGGTTTTATTCATTTTTATGCACTTTTTGAAATTGACCAACCGCACACACTGAATTCATGGAACTGTTTTGGGCAGGAGCCTCGTGTGCGGTTGATCAACTTAGACTTCCACACTTTTTGAGAACCCCTAAGAGAGAACTCATTTGTGGGATACCTTGTGTGTAAAGAGGTGTTCCAAGCTTTGGGTAAATTGTGTGTCCTTTGCCTGGAGATAATTGGGTTATCCTTTAACTTATCTACTTATCTCCCAGGCAGAGGAAGGCAGGCTTTTACTGTAAATCTGTATTATGATTGGTTGTCACTTTTGTTTACTGTGGGAGGTCCTCTTGCAGGAGGATTTCCATAAAAGCCAGTGTGGCATCAATAAAACATTATTCTTGTTGTACCCTTCATGAAGTCTAGGCTCATGCTTGGGTAACCTTTATTTGCTGGGGAGATTCGTCTTGGAAACTGCATTCATCTTTACTATTCCTCTACACCCTAGCTACAGCTATAATCATTTATGCTCAGCAATTGTAAAGGAAATAGGCAAACTCAGTACCATAACCACTGACGTTCATAACAATTATAACTTGTATCACCCCAGTAAGTAGATGAGACATCATTCTGGGAGTCATCTAGTTTATTTAGGCACAACATGCTCAATTTATACACAGACCCCCAGCATTGGGTCTCCATACAAGAATATAGCAAGCCAGCTGCTGGCATCCCTGTGTCTAGGAGATAATTGAGTCAGCAAACTGTAACTCAATTATCTCACAGTTACATGGAAACATACAAAATATATTCACAATCCCCAAAAAGTACCCCCAACATTCACAGGAACCACACATTATATCCCCGGATAGCCCCGATCTGAGCACCCTAGTTGACCAAATAGTGCCCAGATCCATTGAGTAGAAGTTCTGACCGGCCAGCCACGAGGTCATAGCCCAAAACAGTTCCTTAGAAAGTGGGGCAACGAACAGTCTCAGTTCGGGAGTTCCTGTACAAATACTGTCAAAGGTATCCCCTTGCTTCTTGTTTATCCGAAAAAGATTTCAGGTGTTCGACGACCCCGTCCCGCTACCTGTGTTCGGGAGACAAAATGCCTGCCATTCCTTCAACCACGTGCGTTCGGTTATGTGAAATGGTGCCCACCCAGTGGAAGCACTAATTAATTGGTTCTTTTGCGGTTAACAAACAAGGAGGTGGTCGGTGTTCGAGTGTTCTAACAAGTTGCAGGGGGTCCCCGTTCTGGAGCCGAACCAGGTTGGTTCGGGTAAGATAACTCCCGAACGTAGTAAAATTCAAACAGTCCCAAAAACAGTACGTTCCACCACACCATTGTTTTCAATTGATTCCAACACTTACAATATGCAACTGTTGTACTCCTACCATGATATTTTTTTTAAAAATGTCTGTTACTGATGAAATAACCTATAACATCACTGATGCCTGTATACTCTATCAATGGTATAATTGTGCTTTATTTTGCTATAACATGTACCTATTTTTACATGCTGTATTGATGAAACTTGATTAATAAACAGAAAAATAAAACAAACAAACAAATAAATAAATAAATAAATAATAGCTTTTTGATCCAGTGACATATCTAATTGACATTTTCAAATGAAGAAAAAAAAATCTTCTATCAGGAGGTAATATTTACACTCTCATTTCAAAAACACCAGAGATTTACTTTAAAGATTAGATACCATTGCTGTAGAGGAGGGAGACTTATTGATTGGTCTGAATGTTGAATCAACTTATTTAATCATTACTCATGAGGTAACTGTAAAGACATTTTTTTTGTTGGTACTTGTATTTCCAATGGAAAATTCAAGATGAATTTTGAAAGCACTGTTATAGTTTCCTTTGCAGTACAATTATTTTTTTATGATGAAGAGTTCAGTATGCAGCCCAGTGGACCAACAGTTGGGCCAAACAACATCAAGGTATTAGTATTTATTGAAAGAAGACTAAAATCATATTTTTCATTCTCATTTTTTTGTCAGACATTGCGATACAGAGGTGACATTGTCATTTAAAAGGTAAGCAACCAAGCATAACAGATCATAGACTGAGGTGCATTGATGCAACTGAATGGTATCTAGTATGTCACATAGTAATCATGTAGGACTCATTTTAATTTAAAGTAAAGAAAAGAAGCTAGCAATTGTACATATAACTAAGGGTGGTTTGACCAATATGGTAATAAAAAGTAACAAGCAATATCTCAACCTAAGTGATAAGTGAGAAAACCACCACGCAAGTAGGAGCTTGATTAATCAATTGAAAATTGATAGTATGCTCTCCACACATTTATAGCAATATCAGGCACATTAACTTAATATGTAATAAACTCCTGTGGTGGAAATGATGTTAAGCACAACATATTATGTAAGAGGGCAGCAATGCCAGGCACATAGACAGAGTCAGCCAATGCATGTAGTGCGAAAGGCCTTTATGAGCAGTGTTAAGTGTAGGTTGGCAGAGCGTGCTCCATATCGTCTCTGAGGTCTGCTACTCCAGCTCCAGACATCTCTAAATCCCTCAGCACAGTGTCCACTGACCCTTTTAACCAGGGCAAATTCCTGGGTAAGACTCTGTTGTGTGGCCCCTGCTGGGTTCTCAGCCCAGAACGCAAGTAACAGACCGCAGCATGACTAGGGGTCGATTGCTCAGCAGGTGAGCCAGCTTGTGCTGCCTGTGACTTGTATATGGAGCCCAAATTGTACACATATATGGTTGAGCAAATTCATCACTGACACCTGTGGAAGTGCAAGATCCACCTCCATGTTGAGGATGGACATTCGGTACACCGCTGCCTGACTTAGATGTGCTCGGATATAGGTGAGTACCGGGGCACTGTAGAGGTGGGGACCAGTATAACCCCCATCAGTCCAAAGTGGGGTAGGATACAGGACTCACCTTAAGTACATATTTATTTTTTTTAAACTGCTTTATAAAAATAAAAAGAATTGCACTTGCGCTTTAAAATAAGTTACTGTGGCACTGGTGGGAGGTAAGGAAATTTTACTATCAAATTTTACTATCAATGGTTGACTACCCCTGATCTATAATATAACTTCTGAATAGGTAAATGCTTTCACCACGAACCACTAAAAAGTCAGTTTCTAATTGTAAGACCTGTAAGTGCCACCAAGTCATGAAAAGCCTAAATGATGATGATGGCTGTAATATTTTTTTGGCAATGTCATCTATTTATTAATTTTCCACCACTTTTTAATGCAACAAGTGTTCTTTTGTCCTGCCACTCTAAATTTCATGGTCTCCTGAAATAAAAATTTCTGCAAAAATTAAAGGAATTTTCTGTAAAGAACACCAATTCAATATTTTTGGATAAACTTTTCAAATTATATAATATTTTATATATTTTTTTTCACATTTTTACATATATTTTTATGATATATTTTTGGTTTTATAATATTTTGGAGAAAAAAAATCTAAAAATATATCCAAAAATATTAAATAATTTGAAAAGCTTATCCAAAAATATTAAATCAAAGCACAAATGTTTGGAAATTTGTATTCAATATTACAAAAGGAGTGTCCTATTGGGATTTAACCTAGGAACTTTGCAATAAGTTAACTTTTCTACCATTTTCACTCTATTTCTGTTAATTTGTAAGGTAACCACCTTTATAGAATTATATTTTTATGCAAGACTACTAGGGGTCTGGGCATACAGCCAGGGATCTGGGCATACAGCCAGAGTCTTTGCCTGTAGACAGCGATCTGTTTGACAGCAGAATAAGAATAATCATTTTGGATCTACTTTGTTTGCCTAGCCAGTTGAATTCAATAGAGAATGCATCTTCTCTGAAAGATAACTAAACATATTGGTATTAGATTATTTTAAGAAATCTAGCAATATACTTACTTTTTTCTTATGATTGTTATTAATATTGCTTACTGGTGGTATATATTTAATTGTCATGTCATTACAGTAAATGATTTTCATGAGTGAGAGAATAATTACAATGCTGCAAATTTCAGCAAATCCATGTAATTATATTTTATTAATTTTCATATAAAATTTATAAATAGGAGCATTACAAATCCACAAGCAATTTTAAAGTTCTGTTGTTGAACCTGTTGCGCATGAATATATTAGTCACTATTCACTGTATTTATGTTCATGAGTGATCTCAGCAGTTAAGACTGATGCAGTTTAGTTAAAAGGATATTATAGTGCCAGGTATACAAAGCTGTATTCCTCTAGTGCCCCCCCCCTCCCCCACACACACACACCTTGCTCCCACTGCTGTTGTGAATAAAGGGTTAAAAACCCTTAATTTACTTACCTGATCACAGCACCAATGTCCCTTAGTGCTGGGTCGTGGCTCCGTCTCCTCCAAAGTTGCTCAACGACAGAGGCACTAATGCACATGAGTGGCAAGTGTCCCGCTCGAATTATGCCTCACCATAGGAAAACATTGAATCAATGCTTTCCTTTGGGGAAATAGCTGAAGCTGGAATCAGAGCATGAGGGTGTCCAGTGTCAGTTAGCGGAACAAAAGTCTGATAACATTCCGGAAGCGCTTCTAGTGGCTGTCTGGTAGACAGCCACTAGAAGTTGTCTTAGTGCTGCAATGTAAACATTGCAGTTTCTCTAAAACAATACTGTACCCAGACACTTCAATGAACTGAAGTGGACTGGGTGTCTATAGTGTCCCTTTAAGTCCTTCCCTCTACAATCACGGGTTATTGCACCATAAAAAAATATCTGTGTCCTTGCTTCGCTCATGTCGCTTGTGAAGTGTTCTCTCAGTTCTCCATACTAATCCAAGCACAACCTTGGCCTGGAAGTTTCATATCTCTGCTACCATTGACATGTCTTCTCAAGCTTTGCAAACACAAAAAAAGATTGAGAAGGATTAAGAAGTCTTTCTTCTTTTCTATCA